GCAGACAAAATACTGTGCAAGTTTGAAAGTGGCATTCTGGTTTGGTTTCCCAGGTTCATTTCCAATTCTGTTCTCTAGATCAGAGAATTTTTCATCCTCTATAACACTTTTAGATATTTTGCTCCTCATGCATCTAGGGGGAAACCCAATGTTACAATAATCTGTATTATAAACAAAAGAAGTTCTTGGTGTTGATAATTATGGGAAAATAAGAGGAGGATTATAACTACCTAATAACAACAACAAAAAAAGTAAAAGCTTTCCTGTAACTTCAGCTCTCTCACTTCTATGTTAACCATCAGTTTCTTTTGATCTATTATCTCCTTATTCTTATACTGTTTTCTAACCAGTCAAAAATGGCAAAAGGAGATGCTAAAACAGTCTACACTCAGGATTAGGAGCCCCGGATGGTCCTAGGAGATGATTAACTTCCAAATTATCCTCATAGTATTTGTGTTATAAGAATAAACTTGAAAAACTTAAGAAGTCCCAATTTCAAGCAATAGGGAGGAAATGTTTAGACAGTTTGTTTTATAGGAAGCAAAGTAGCCTGTAACAGGGTCCTCAGAATCATACAACCTTCAGATACTTATGAAATCAACTTGCTGTCTCAAACTAATATCTTCCCCTTTCCCACTGACTCTAGAAACATTCTCCTGATTTTGGATCTAAGAGTTGTCCTTCCCCTGTGTTCATTTTTAGAATTGAATTTGCATATACTGGGCATTTAATAAATACTTTTTCATGAGACCAAGGAAGTTGACCTTGATCCAACTGGATTATATTGTTTCTAGTCCCAGCTTTCTGATGGGTCTCTGTCCTATCAAATATGAGAAGCTGGCCTGAACAAATAGCTAACCCCTCCCATATCACCAGCTGAATTCCTATTGGGTATGCCCTTGCTGTTTCTACAGCATCACCATCTGTAGGTAGAATACAGACATCCTACTTAATGTAAACAAAACAAAAAATCAGAAATATCTTTATTTATAACATTCCAACTATTTTTATTCTTACTTCTCCTAACCTTGGTTTTCTCCTTAATCAATAGCTGATTTATACCATGTACAGTCATATCTCCTGGTCTACCTACCAGCCCTCTATCATGGTCACTTTTGGTTTCACTTGACCGTCTATGTTAGCTGCTCCACACTGGGAAAACTGTTCATAATAAAAATAGCAAACATTTACTGAGCATTTGCTTTGTGCACTGTTCTTAAAACTTTACATATATTATCTGTATCATTTTATTTGCATAATAATCTCAGGTACTATTATTATTCTTATTTTATAGATTAGGAAGTAGAGGCACAGGAAGATCTTTCTAATAAGTCAAGTGCAAACATTTTACTATTGCCTGCTTCAAAACAAGGCTCAATAACTGTTGAATGAATGAGTAAATCAGTTATTACTGAGATGTGCCATGTAGGTAATATTCCCAGAACAATGTAAAATGTAAATATGCAAAGTATTGTGTCTGTAACTCAGTAGTTACCCCCATCAACATATTCTAATTTCCTTTTCCTTCCTCTTTCCTCGAAATTTCAGAATCAAAATGGTTGTCTGATTGAATATCTTTAAAAGGTCATGATAAATTATTCTGTAATATTTGAAATGCTATGCTCAAAAAGGTCAACCTTTTTATTTTTTGGTGTGAAATACCACACAGATTTGTTTTTCCGTGGGCACCTTTTCTTCTTTCAAAGAAAAGATGTCAAGAGATTTTGAGCAGGGTGCCCTCTTGAGGAACATTTAGCACTTTTCTTTTCAAAAGTTGACACTGGGCAAAATGAGAAGTCCTGATAAATGATGCCTGCTATGAACGAGACGTTAAAAATAAGAGTAGCATAAGACCAGATACTTGAGAATTAAGATTCTGTTATGATTTGATGTAGCAACTGTAAAAAATTTTAAATAAAAACAAAACCTCTAGATTAAGATATATCACTTCCTTAGAATTTTAAGTGATGTTTATTAAATACATATTTTGTGCCAGGAACACTGCCAAGCACAGAGGTCATTAAAACATAGCCTCCGTCGCTGACCACTTGTGAGGAAGATCCCAGTGGAGAGAACAAACATATATACAGGTCATTATAAACTGAGAAAAGTATATGAATGGCTTGAAAGGGTGCCAGAATAGAGAAGAACAACATAAGGCTGGTCTACTTAGAAGGACAAGCCTCTCTGAGAGAAAATAGCTGAGCTGAGGCCGTTTGCTTTTCAGCCTGTTCTAAGGGTCGGGAACCTTTTTTTGCCAGAGGCCATTTGGATATTTATAACATCATTCTCTTAATATAGACACTTAATATAAATGTATGTTGCTATGAAAAAAGTTCCTAGATTTATTGAATTTCAAGTTCCACCTGTGGTTGCCTCGGCAGGGCCAGACCAAATGGGTTTCTCAGGACTTTTACTGCCCACCTCTGGACATTCCCCACCTCAGGTCTATTCCAAGTCTGCCCATCTGATAGAGACCATCATATTGTTTTTAATCTTTATTGTTAAAAGTATTATGTATGTCCTCCTTTTTTCTTCCATTGGCTTCTTCTCACCTACCCCTAGGCCTTCACTACATATGGGTTATGCATATATAGGCATACAAATTCTTCAGTTAATCTCTTCCCACCCACCCACCCTAGAGAGTCTTAATGGACCATTTTTCCTAAACTTGTTCTTTCTTATCTCTGCCCCAATTCTTCTTTTATAATTATTCTTATTGTTGAAAATATTATAGATGTTCCCTTTTGTTTTCCCCATACTGCACCCCTCCCCCCACAAGCTCCAGGTCTTCACCACACTTTTGTCCACCCAACCCATTCCCTTTTTCCTTCTAAGATTTGTCAATGTGTTCCATGCTTCTATGTCTCTGGATTTATTTTGTTCATCAGTTTATTTTGTTCATTAGGTTCCACAAATGAGTGAGATAATGTGATATTTGTTGTTTTCTGACTGGTTTATGCTGCCCCAATTCTTGAGCTGGGTTGAGTCCTGTCTCTGTCCTTTGACAAGCAGGCAACTCTCATTCATTCTTCTGCACCTCATTGTTGCTCTAACTGGTCTCCTTCACCCTAGAGCCTCACACTCTTCACCTGGGCGGGCGGGATACTTAATTAACAAATGTCTTCTTTACTTATACTGATAACCCCTCATATTATAGTAGAACATCAATGTATTATAATCCTAACCGGCCAAATTTCTGATAAGGTTAAAGGTGGAGAGGATCTCAGAAAGTGAAAATGACAGATAACCCTGCCCACTGTGCTTTAACTTTGATTGGGAGAGGTAAAGAGGCATGAAGTAGGTAGAGACCTTGGTCATGTAATGCAGTTGGGTTACGTTGACTTTGAAATATCTGTGGTACTAAGCATCTTCGGAAAAACCTCAAAAGAACTATTTTTTTTGTAGGGTTCTTTTGCTTTGTTTGTTTCAAGGCTCCTATACTACACAGACATACTATACTATACAATAGTCACCCCTTAATTTGTGGGGAATCCATTCCAAGACCCCGGATGGATGTCTGAAACTGAGGTTAGCACTGAACCCTTATGTTATGTTTTTTCCTATACATACATACCTATGATAAATTTTAATATATAAATTAGGCTCATTAAAAGAATTGCTATAACTAATCATAGAATAGAAAAATTATAGCAATGTATTGTAATAAGAGTTATGTGAATGTGGTCTCTCTCTCTGTGATAACCAAGATGGCTTGTAAGGGTGGTAGGGTATGTGGCATGAATACACCAAACAAAGGGGTTATTCTTGACTCACTATATAAAGCAGTGATTCTAATCCCAGGCAGGACAGAACGGGATGGCACAAGATTTTGTCACATTACTCAGAACTACATACAATTTAGAACTTACGAATTGTTTATTTCTATGGTTTTCCACTTAATATTTTGGACTACAGTTATGGAAACTGCAGAAAATGAAACTGAGGATAAGGAGGTACTATTCTATAATGATTGACGAGGATCCCCTCCAGTGTATTACTCTACCCTTGTTTCTTTTTCCAGATGAGTTGATTCTGTCAAATTGGAGGTTTCACTGATGTGGAGAGAATTGCCTCAGATGGATGGCCTGCAATGACTTCTGGGTTAGTGTTTAGGTGACATATGAGTCAGGGACCCAAAGTTTGAACAAGGCACTTATACTTTAGTTGTACCTGAAAATAGCTGTCTTCCAGAAAACCAGCCACCTCCTCCTTATCAACCAGATGTCTGTAAACGTCACTCTTAACCCCTTTGAATCTCATCTGTAAATTGGGGTTTAAAATCTCTGCTTATTTCAAAAGTTACCATATTTTGAATATTAATAATATGTGCTATATTGGTCAGAATGTGCTAAAGATAATATACTTATTGCTGCTACTATATACCAATTTGGAGAATACACCAAAACACATAAAATGTACAAATTCCTTTGACCTAGTAAATTGGTTCCTGATCATTTATTCTTACGAAAAATTTGAAGAAAAAAAACCTGATTTCTTCTATAAAGAAAACATTGGAAATAATATTAGAATGGTTAAATAAAATATGTTGCTTTTAGACAATGAAATATTGGCCAGAATTATTTAAACTAGATGCATATGGAAAGGGGCTGGAAGGAAACATGAAAAAGTAAAACAATTGAAAGGGTAGTAGAATTTTAAGTTTTTCCCCTCTTATTATTCTGAATGTTATTACTGCAGCAGAATAATTAAAATACTTGAAACACTTTAAATTTTTTAAAAAATTTGCCCATCTGATATGGTTCAGTGGTTGAGCATTGACTTATGAACCAGGAGGTCATGATTCAATTCCTGGTCTGGGCACATGCCTGGGTTGCAGGCATCATCTCCATTGTGGGGCATACAGGAGACAGCCGATCAATGATTGTCTCTCATCATTGATGTTTCTATCTTTCTCTTCCTCTCCCTTCCTCTCTGAAATCAATAAAAATATGGCCCCAAACTAAATTTTCTCTTACTATCTCTTGTTTTTTATTTAGGGAAATTATCGTTTCATGAAACTCTTACTCACACGTAGAGCGAATTGGATGCAGAAGGATCTAGAAGAGATGACTCCTCTGCATTTGACCACCCGACACAAGAGCCCCAAGTGTTTAGCGCTTCTGCTGAAGTTTATGGCACCAGGAGAGGTGGATACACAGGATAAAAACAAGGTAACAGAGCGCCAAAATAAAAGACAAATAAGAGCAGGAAGTAAGTGCTTCCTTTTATAATATAAAACCTCAAGGAAGAAGGCAGGGATTACCACTCATACACATGATAGAAGAATTCCAAGTCTCCGCATGCCCTAGTAAAGTATTTCACTTAAGTCTGTCCTTTTATCCTCCTTGCAACTATGTGTAGTAGATAGTACAATCTCCTTTATACAGATGGAGAAACAAGCTCAAGAAGATTAAAATTCTGCCCAAGATCCAAGTGATGGGACTAGAATTCAAACAGAAACCTCTTATTGAACAGCTGGTTGTGATAGTGACGATGGTGGTTAGATTTGTGATGGCCGATGCCTGGGGAAGTGTGCTGAGTGCAAAGTTACTTCCTTTTGGTTCTAGCAGCCACCCTGGCATTTGTTGCTAGGATTCACTATCTTCCCTGCTTTTGAATTTTAACATATTGTACACATTTGTCATTGTTGTAATCGACTGATTATTGCTCTGATCGTTTTTTACAGGGGAAAAATATGGTCTTTTAGTTAGACAAGTGCAGTAATCCTCTTTGTTTCAACCAGGCACTTAATTATAGAGTCTTGCTAACTGTAGAACTTCCATGTAATTAAAACTCCTATGATTACATCCACAATGTTTATATTCAGTAATCTGTTCACTCTCATAGTGTTCTTTGTGTAGTTTTCAGATTTTGTTTAGTATTAGGTCTAGTAATAATTAATGTCGTTTTCTAATACTTTTTTAAAATCGAATTTATTTAAACAATACAACAAAATTTAATCAACAATATAGTTGCCGTTGTTTTCTACTACTTGTGCCCAATGCTCAGGAAGCATTTTAATCCCTCTGTTGTAAAATTCTTGTGATTTTGATGCAAAAAATTCGGTCAATGCATTTTTGAGGCATTCTTCATTATTAAATTTTTTTCCAAGAAGAAAGTTTTGCAAAGAACGAAACAAATGGTAATCGGAAGGGGCAATATCAGGAGAATATGCAGGTTGAGGGAGAACTTCCCATTCCAACTGGCGCAGTTTTTCAGCAGTTATTCTTTTTTTTTTTTTTCTCCTACCTTCCCTCCCTCCCCACATTCCTTCTTTCCTTTATCTTTATTCCTTCTTTCCCTCCCCTTTTCCTTCCTTCCCACCTTAATTTTTTTCTTCACTTCCTCCTCGGACCTGCTTTGCTCCCTCCCCCATTTCTCCCTCCCCATTCTCCTTTTAAGGTCTATCGGCTCCCCTTTAAAACTTTTCTTCCCTCCCTCTTTTTCTCTCATCCACATTCTTCTCTACTTCCACTGTTTTAATACCTAAATACCTGCCTAATTATTCACTATCATTTATCTTTTTTTTTCTTCTGACTCCTCCTTTACCCATAAGATTGTCAGCTGATTTCTCAACAGAAATCATGCAGGCCAGACAGGAATGGCAAGAAATATTCAAGGTGATGAATAACAAGAACCTACAGCTAAAAATAATCTACCCAGCAAAGCTATCACTCAGAATCAAAGGACAGATAAAGAGCTTCACAAATAAAAAAAAGCTAAAAGAGTTCATCTCCACCAAACCAGAATTATATGAATTGCTGAAGGAGGTTATTTAGGAAGAGGAAGAAGATAAAGATAAAAATTATGATCAACAAATACGTAGCTATCAACAAGTGAATCTAAAAACCAAGGGAATTTAAAAATCTGATGAACAATATTAACTGGTGAATATAATAGAATCAGAGGTATGGAAGTGGAGTGGACTGACGATTCTCAGGGAAAAGGGGAGTGGGGGTGCGGGAAGAGACTGAACAAAAATTGTGCACCTATGGATGAGGACAGTGGGGGATGGGGAAAGGACAGAGGGTTGGGTGGGAACCTGGTGAAGGCGAGCAATTGAGGGGGGGAAGAGGATCACATTTGTAATAATCTGAACAATAAAGATTTATTCAGCAGTGATTCTTGCAGTATGCGGTCGTGCGTTATCATGGTGAAGAATTACGCCCTTCCGATTAATCAGCACGGGTTCTTTTTCTCTTAAAGCTTGGGCTAACCTTTCCAATTGGGCACTATACACTGCACTTGTAATGCTTTGGGTAGATGGTAAAAGTTCATAATGAAGAATTCCTTTAAAATTCCACCAAACACACAACATCACTTTTTGTGCATGCAAGTCAGGTTTTGGCGTGGGCTGCGGAGTCTCATTTTTGTCCAACCATTGAGGCTGCCTTTTCAAATTAACATACAGCACCCATTGTTCATCTCCGGTAACAATTTGCTCTAAAAACGGCAAACGGTTTTGACGAGAGAGGAGCAAACTGCAAATTGTGACTCTTTGATTACGGTTGTTGTCGGTCAACTCATGAGGAACCCATTTTCCAAACTTTTGGACTTTGCCAAGTGCACGCAATTGATTGGAAATTGTTTTTTGTGAACAATTTAAAGTTGTCGCAAGCTCTTGTTGGGTAATTTGAGGATTTTGCACCAAAAGAGCTTGAAGAGCTTCTTGATCAAAATTGGACACATGGCCTCGACCACACTTGTCATCTAACGAAAAATTTCCCTCGCGAAATTTTTCAAACCAACGCTGGCATTTTCTGGCGCTAACTGCATCTTGACCAAGAGCACTACAGATGTTTTTTGCAGCCTCACTTGCTTTTCTCCCTAATTGGAACTCGTAAAGCATGCAGTGCCGAATATGCTCTTCATCCGCCATCTTCTTAGCCCTAGTTTTGCAACAAAAACCAAACCAAACACAAACTTTTTCAAGCAAAACTTGTTAATTGCACTTCACACGTTCTGTAGATACCACGTGTTTGAGGTTATGTCAATACAAGTCAACGCCAAGCAAGATTTTAAACGAATGTTTAAAAACGACATTAATTATTACTAGACCCGATAGTCACTCACATAATCCAGAGTTCTGTAATCATCTTTGTTTTACAGCATACTGTAAACTAATATTATTCCTAACTCAAGTGCTAATATTTTACTGGGGAAAAAAAAAAGCACTTTGATAAGTCCACAAAGAACACTTGTCACTTAAGAAGCTACAAATTTCTTTGGGTTTATAATGTCTTCCCCAAATATTCTAGAAACTTTCTACTCTCTTCCAATATTTGTATATCATTCTGTATGGAACATGGATGGGAGGTTATCCAGTGAGACAGATGGAAAATGGAACTCCACAGTCCAGGCAAGCACAGAGAAGAAAGCGAGACAAATGCCTATAACAGTGAATCTCAAAGAATCTGAGGGGAAGGATCAGTTTCTTTCATTTCCAATCTGTCACAGAGCAATAATTTTATGACATATAATATAAATGCCCAACAACAAAAGAACCAGTTAAACATAGGCCTAGGACATGAATAGACATTTCTCCAAAGTAGATATACAAAAATGGCCAAGAAGCACATGAAAATATGCTCAGCATCACTATTTATTAAGGAAAAGTAAATCAAAACTACAATAAGATAGCACTTCATACCCCTTAGATGCAATTATTAAGCACAAACAAAAATAAGTGTTGGTGAGGCTACAGAGAAATCTGAACCCTTGAGCAGTGCTGGTAGGAATGTAAATTGGTATAGCCATCGTGGAAAACAATTTGGCAGTTCCTAAAAAATTAAACATAGAATCACCATAGGACTTAGTAATACTTTTTCTGGATGTACATCCACAAGAATTAAAATCAGGAACTAGGACAGATATTTGTGCATCCACATTCAAAGAAACATTATTCCAAATAGCCAAAAAAGTGGAAACATCTCAAATATTCATTGACAGCAGATGGCTGGATAAACAAAAGGCAGTGTATACATACAGTGGGATATTATTCAGACTTCAGACTTAAAAATGAATTAAATTTTGACACATGCTACAATAGTAATGAACTTTGAAGATAGTAGGCTAAGAGAAATGTCACTCACGAAAGGACAAATATTGTATGATTCCACTTACAAGACACCTGGAATAGTTAAATTCATAGAGACAGAAAGTAGAAATTGCCACCTCCTCCCAAGGCCTGGACCAGTCACTATGACGCACACTGACCTCCAGGCCTGGGAGGAGGTGGCAATGGTAGTCATTGTTAAATGGGTATGCAGTTTCAGTTGGGGAAGTTAAAAAATATTTCATATGTATGGTATGATGGTTGCATAACAATTTGAATGTGCTTAATGCCACTGAACTGTACACTTAAAAACTTTTAAAATAGTAAATTTTATGATATATATATATATTTTTTTTTTTTACCAGAGTAAAAAAATAATTACTAGAAAAATAAAAGCAAAAATAGAAAAAATGCAACCCTAAATTTTTTACTCTTAGATTCAACAAACATAATATTGCATTTCAATAAATACCTACATTCAGAACAAATATCACATGGGAAAAGAAAAGAATTACAGACACTGCACATGTTGTTTACTGAAAATGTAGTTATAGGTCAGTGGTCAGCAAACCCATTAGTCAATAGAGCAGTAATCCACGGCTTGCAAGCCACATGTGGCTCGCAAGCCACAGCTTGCCAACCACTGTTATAGGCAATTCATTGCTATTGTATTTGTGACTTTTTTGTTCTGTAGTTATTACTAAATAAAAGGTAGTAAGTAAAGTAGTGGCTCTTTATATTAAATGTCTATAGGTACACTCTGAATGAATACCATTCTATATAACAAAAGCCTAATATGCTAAGTTTCCGACCGTTTGACTGTTTGACCAGTCACTATGACGCACACTGACCACCAGGGGACAGACGCTCAGACCAGTAGGTTAGCTTGCTGCTGGGGTCTGGCCAATGGGGACTTGGCAAAATGACCCAGACAAACCCTGGAGCCCTACTACGGTCCCTCCCTTGCTGGCCCTGACCAGCCCCGAGATCCCGGATTGTGAGAGGGCACATGCCAAGCCAAGGGACCCCATCGGTGCACGAATATGTGCACTGGGCCTCTAGTGTATATATAAAGTGTCTATTGTGACAAATGAGCTTGGTTCCTGCTATTAGATGATCTTATTCTAGATTGGCTTGATGACAGTGCTACTTGTGTCTCTTGGCAGAGAAAGCAGTCTTTTCTTACATAGTAAGAATGCAGTCTTAGTATGTTGAAGAGAAGGAAGAAGAGATTTTAAAGTAATGTCAACCCATTCAGGCTGTTCATTTTTAATTTTATCTGAAATAGAGCAAATCTTGCTGTATTTTTTAAATGTATCTTTCATCAGTAAGTAGGTCTAACAATTTATTATGTAAAATTATAGCTAAATATATTTTTTAAAAAAATATATATTTTATTGATTTTTCACAGAGAGGAAGGGAGAGATATAGAGAGATATAAACGTCGATGAGAGAGAAACATCCACCAGCTGCCTCTGGCACACCCCCTACTGGGGATGTGCCCGCAACTCAGGTACATGCCCTTGATTGGAATTGAACCCCCAGGGTTCATTTCGCAGACAGACACTCTACCACTGAGCCAAACCGGTTTCGGCACTGAGCCAAACCGGTTTCGGCTATTCTTTGATATAAGAAAATAATTCCAGAACTATGATTTCCTGTGCATGGATCATTTTTTAATAGATGATAAAATTCAAATATTATTAAGTTGCTTGATACAAAATGAAGATCATTATTTTGTTGATAATTATTCATAAATTGTTGGGCTGCTTTTCTCTTTCTCAGTACTATCATTCCTTAGTTTCTGATTATCTAAATGCCTGCCATGGGCAAAAAGGCAGATGTGGAGGCAGACTGCCTGGGTTAAAATCTCAGTTGGTCACTTACTATCTTTATGTCCTTGAACAGAATACTTAACCTCCTTGTGCTCAGTTTCCTTATCAATCATATGTAAATTCAAGAGTACTTTCTCCCAAAATTATCATGACAGCTACATGAGATAAAAATACATAAAACTCTTACAACAGTGTCTGTTACACAGTAAAAGCCTGGGAACAACAGGTCATGTTATTGTTAACTGTGGTTACTACTTTAAGAATCTCCATCTTGCAGCAAACAGCTCTGCATTGGAGTGCCTATTACAACAACCCTGAGCACGTGAAGCTGCTTATCAAGCATGATTCCAACATTGGGATTCCCGACGTTGAAGGCAAGATCCCGCTTCACTGGGCAGCCAACCACAAAGACCCAAGCGCTGTGCACACAGTGCGGTGCATTCTGGTGAGTACCATGGTGCTGCTAGCCCCGATGGCCTTTCCAAAAACTGTAAATTAATCCAACAGTGAAATGCCTTTCATACCTATAAGGGGAAAGTGCAGTAAACTTGATAATACTGCATGGTTCATTTGTGCCAGCATTTGGGGAAATAAGGACTTTTACACACTGTCATGGATGTGTTCATTGGAATAACCATTTGAAGAGCAGCTTAACAATTCCTAGTTGAAGATACAGATATCCTTCAAGCCAGTAATTCCCCCTCTAGGTTTCTAGTTTAGAGAAAAATCTCACGTATGTGCTACAAGGGGACATGTAAAGGAAGTCTGTTCAGTGCAGCATTATTGTTAATAGTGGGAAAATGTAAGTAACCTAAGTATCCTTCAGCAGGAGAATGGGTAACTGCATTGTGGCTTAAAGATTAACTAGTATCAACATAGATACTACAAAATATAGTGTTGAAAGAAAAATTGCCAAGATACATGCAGTGTATAATGCATAAGTGTAAATATTTAAAAAATACACATATAAAATTTATGTGTTGTTTATGGATGTATACATAGGGAGCAAAGAACAAAACATACAGCTTTAGCTCAGTCCATAACAGATACACAAGCACAAAATATTAAATCTATTCAATCTAGATAGTCAGTGTATGGTATTTATTATATCTTTTCTATACCTTTTATGGTTAAATATTAAAATAAAATTGTATTACTTTACTATTCTGAGAGAGAGCATAAGGTTTAGAAAACTGCTCAATTAATACTTATGTCAAATGTGTTTTTATTGAGGATATATGTGTCTGAAGTCTCTGGTTCCTTAAAAATAGGATGCTGCTCCAACGGAGTCTTTACTGAACTGGCAAGACTATGAGGGGCGAACACCTCTTCACTTTGCAGTTGCTGATGGGAACATGACAGTGGTTGATGTCTTGACCTCATATGAAAGCTGCAATATAACATCTTATGATAACTTGTTTCGTACTCCACTTCACTGGGCAGCTCTACTAGGTGAGTTGAATATGAATCAGAAGATCAACAGTGTGAATACAGGAAACTTTTTTTTTTTTTAATGCCTTCTGTTTTCTTAACTCCCATCTTCCATTTAATTACTAGTGTTTGCATTTCTAATTATGTGGCACTATTTTACACCTAAATCCCTCTATTTAGGCTTTAATTTTAATAATATGTATTCTGTCATATATTAGTTTTTATTTTGACATAATGTCTTTTAATCTATATATATAAAAGCCTAAGTGATCAGTCGACCAAACAACTGGTCAACCGGTTGCTATGATGTGCACTGACCACCAGGGGGCAGACACTCACTGCAGGAGCTGCCCCCTGGTGGTCAGTGTGCTCCCACAGCCAATCTCTCACTGCTGGCCAACCTCCCGTGGTCCCTTGTCCTGGCCAGCTGGCACGATCAGCCCCAATCAGCCAGATCGCTGCCCAGGCTGAAGAACCCCACCCATGCATGAATTTGTGTACCAGGCCTCTAGTTTTTATCATAAAAGTAGTGCACATTTATTGACAAACACCAATGTAAAATAATTCTCTTTTCACATTCAATGCCTTTATTTGGGGGGAGGAGAGCTTTAAGTTTATGTTTGTGCTAATACAATCATATTTGATTTTTTTCTTTATTTTTTCCTGATATGCTTTTTACTTAACATGTTTGGGGACCACTTTCTTTAGATGAGAGAGTACATATATGTGTCTGATTTGGGGGGCAATCTGAAAATCTTTCTCTTTTAGTGCATGAGTATTACATAGTTATTCTTATATATTATTTGCTATTTTTCCTGCTATTCTGCTCTTTGAGTATTATTGGTCATTTTGTTTTAAATTTTCTTTTGTTTTTTTTCAGTTGTTTTTCTGCCTTTTAGTGTGTGGATTAGGTTTGTTGTTATTTGCTTTTGAATTGCCTAATGTTTCAGGAGCCTATTTAAGTTTTATTAGTAGTTACCTTTAAATTGGTCAAAGTCAATTGGTCTTGACTCAAAGTCAAAAATAAAACTGTATATGTTGATTTCAACTTATTTAAAACAAGGAACTTAGCAAATTTTTACCACTCTTTTGGTATTTGTTAATATAACCTGAGATTCTCCCCCTCCCCAATTATTATTGTAGTCTTATTTTTAAAATTATTTATTTAGGGCTCATTTAAATGTACAGTTTCATCCCTTTTTCCTTTTCTTCTGCATTCTGGGAGGACTTCATAAACTTGTCTTCATGTCATTAAATTGATTTTTTGTTCCATAAATTCTGCTTGTTTTCTCCCTCTTATAGACTTTAGTTTGATTTCCTTCTCTCATTCATATTTCATTTTATCTCTGTCTATTTCCCTTTTTAGTTCCTTCCATTACCTTTTCTTCTTAGGATATTCTGCTTTGTTTCATAGAGGCCATCTCTTTGTACTTAGTCAAAGATGCCAAGCAGTTTCCTGAAATTTTCCTCTGGATCTTCTCTAGATCACTTTCTGAGGTATGCTCTTCATCTTTCTGATGGTGTTTTATCCTTCAAACAAGTAGGGTGTGTTTCAGTTGACCACGTGGCATAGATTGCCTTTGATCCTCTAGTGGAGAGCAGGGCAATGAGCACAGTGCTCACAAAAGTCCTTCCTCCTGCCTGGCTTTCGTGCAGCCTGTCCTTGCCCTGCTAATGTGGCATCTGCTTCGCTGCCTGGTTCTTAGTATGCTGGAGAAAGAGGATTTATGAAATTCAGATTTCCTAGATGCACTACTAGCATGTGTGTTCATTCTTTGATTCTTTCTACAGTTCTTCACTTATGGAGACCACATCCTCCAGAATGCATTGTAGAATATTTTCTGTATAACCAACCACCCCCTTACTCCTGCCCACTTGTTTTGGGGGATTTGAAATCATTGCTTAGATGTTAAAAGATTGGGAGTGGATAGGAGGCCTCAGAGATCACAGGGGATTGTATTACAGTTTGTGCTCCCAGACAGTAGAAGAGAACAGCTGTGCAGTTCGGATTGGTTGTGCGCTGGAACCTGGAGACCAGGGGCACTGATAGCCCAGTGGGGCTGGCTTCTAGTTTCTAGGGCAGCTTCCACCTTTCCTATGGGCAGCTTCTAAAGTGAAGCCAGGGAATGCAATAAGCCGATACCCTAATATTCTTTTGTCTCAATATGGAAACAGTCATTAATGTCATTTTCTTCCTGGCTGAAGATTTAAGTTTTCAGTGTGGTAGTTTTTGCCTTTGCCCTACATTATCATAGTATTTTAATGAAAAGTGAGAAGAGGCTGTACTGAGGGCTGCTCCTCAGAAACCATTTGAATGTTATATGTCTGTGCTAGAGATTTTTCTTACCCCTTTCCTTTAAATAGATTATAAATTAATTAACGCCCTGTGAATGTGATCGCTGCCTTGTTGTGTCTGCTTTCAGGCCATGCACAGATTGTCCATCTCCTTTTAGAAAGAAATAAGTCTGGAACCATCCCATCCGACAGCCAAGGAGCAACACCCTTGCACTATGCAGCTCAGAGTAACTTTGCTGTAAGTAAAACATGACAATTTTCTTTTTTCTCAATTAAATTTTAATTTTTATATGATTGTAAATTCATAGGCAGTTGTAAGAAATGAAACAGCAAGGTCCAGTGTTCCCTTCACCCCATCTACTTCAATGGTAACATCTTGACAAAACGTAATGCAGTCTCATAAACAGGAAATCGACATGGATACAATCCACCGATCTTATTCAAATTTCACCATTTTACATGTGTTTATTATATGAGGGTGTTTGTACAGTAGTTGTTTTTTAATAATTGTCCATATTGTTAACTCTGTAATGCAAAAAATAGTCTGAGCTTTTATAAAATTGATACATATGAAGTTTTATCCAGTTTTTATTTTTATTTTAGCTGCTCAGTGTAACATTTGCTTTACTGTAAGTATACTTCATCTTTTTGTTATTTTTATAGCACTGAGGAAAACTTAGTGTTCACAATCTTCAGTTGTCTTGAAGGCACTGTGGCAAAGCTTTGGAACTAGATAAATTTTGAATCACTCCCGACTGTGGTATTTGCTAGCTGTGCAACTTTGCACAAATTTCTTAACCTCCTTGAGTCTTAGTTTCTTCATATGTAAACAATGATAATTATACCTTTTCTTTCAGGATTGTTGTAAGGATTAGGGAAAATTTATGACATGTGCTTACTGTAGTTTGGCATTGATCAGGTACTCAAAAAATGGAATGCCTTCTTATTATTACTAGTACTGATAATTTGTCCTTTATATACTTGAGAAAGCAATCATATGAATTATTGATATTTCCAAAGATACTGAATAATATTAAAAGTTCTTCACTTACCACTTTTATTATTTACAAAGCACTTTCTCATCCATTTTGTCATTCAGTCCAGCCAGACCATGATAGTGTCTAGGATGCTTCAGCCAGACCATGATAGTGTCTAGGATGGGCCAGCAAGAACCTAAGAAGCGAGCATTAAAGCAGTCATGGTTGATTTTGATGCCTTATACATGGCATGCATAGTGAAACCCTTGGTTTCATTAAGTTATAAGAATGCCGTCCTCAGTATAGTATGCTTCTATCTTCCTGACCTCCCCAACTGCACCATTGAATACATAGAGTACTCATATTGCCAAAATTATATTTCCACCCTTCTTTCTCTCTGGTACTCACAGAACTATAGCTATAGTCCTTTCTTGTGAACATTCATAAAAATTTATTTTATTTATCACCCAGAGTTTTGGCTAACCATTATCTTCTTTTATCTTCCAAGATCTCAAAAAAAATAAAATAAATACAAACTAGATTTTGAAGAGAATATCTTTCTTATTAAAATAGATTAAAAAAATAACTTGGGCCAAAACCGGTTTGGCTCAGTGGTAGAGCATCGGTCTGTGGACTGAAAGGTCCCAGGTTCGATTCCGGTCAGGGGCATGTACGTTGTTGCGGGCACATCCCCAGTAGGGGGTGTGCAAGAGGCAGCTGGTCGATGTTTCTCTCTCATCGATGTTTCTAGCTCTCTATCTCTCTCCGTTCCTCTCTGTAAAATATCAATAAAATATTAAAATAATAATAATAATAACTTGGCCTAGTCTAGTCAATCTATAAAAATCAGAACTCAATCCATGTTTTAACACGAGACTGTGAGATAGAACATGTTAGCCCTTATTTACAAATGAAGAAACCAAGGTTACAAGAGATTAAAGAACTTGCCCAAGATCTTGAACCCAAATCTAGATACAAATTTAATGTATGTACAGATACCAGTAATTAGGTAACTATGCTAATGGGACTAAGAAAAAGTATAGAACATTATGGATGTTCATTCAAAGAAATACTTGTTTGGGATAATCTGCCAATCCAAGAGATTATTTTTTAATAATTATGTAAAATTCTAAGCTTAATGTTAAGCCCACTAATTTTCTTGGACTTTGTTAATCTATAAGAGGCTTGCTTTCTTCCTCCTCCTCCTCCTCCTCCTCCTCCTCCTCCTCCTCCTCCTCCTCCTCCTCCTCCTCCTCCTCCTCCTCCTCCTCCTCTTCTTCTTTTTCTTCTTCTTCTTCTTCTTCTTCTTCTTCTTAGGCTTTATTTCTTTTTGAAAAACAGTAACAATAACCAAAAAATCCTACAATCATTTCATTTGATTCAAAAGTAGGGAAAAATACTTTGCTTCTTAGTATAAGTCACATATAACAGTTGCTTTGTTACCATAAAAAATACTGCTCTCTTGTCTCAAAATTTTAAATGAAATTTTCTTACAGGAAACAGTTAAGGTCTTTTTAAAACATCCTTCAGTAAAAGATGACTCAGACCTCGAAGGAAGAACATCCTTTATGTGGGCTGCCGGGAAAGGCAGTGATGATGTCCTTAGGACTATGCTGAGTTTAAAATCTGACATTGATATCAACATGGCAGACAAATATGGAGGTACAGGTAAGAACTGGTAAACATAATTGATTTTCTTTTATTCAGGATCCAAAATGTAGTGATGCTACAGACTCAGGGGTCCCAGATTTGATTCCTGTCAGGGGCATGTACCTTGGTTGCTGGCACATACTCAGTGGGGAGTGTGCAGGAGGTAGCTGATGGATGTTTCTCTCTTATCGATGTTTCTGACTCTCTATCCCTCTCCCTTACTCTCTGTAAAAAAAATAAAATAATAAAATATATTTAATAATAATAATAATAAAGAGCCCTAATCAGTTTGGCTCAGTGGATAGAGCCTGTGGACTGAAGGATCCTGGGTTTGATTCTGGTCAAGGACTTGTACTTTGGTTGCGGACACATTCCCAGTAAGAGCTGTGCAGGAGTCATCTGAACTTTTAGTTTAACTTTTCACGTATTTTAATAAAGTATAGGTGAGAGTATTGCATCCTTCTGACCCAACATGTCTTTCTGATGTGCACCATGGTTGGAAATCAGACAAAAATGCCTTTCAGATTCATAGTTCTCTGGACTCTTTCTCCTTAGGGTTTTATTATATGTCATAGATGCTTCCTAACATTTCTTGTCTGTGAAAGTATTTCCTCTCCTTCATTCCTCTACAGGTTGTTTTATCCTCCCCCTTGAGAAAAAGAGTTCTAAACTATAATAAAAAGAATAAAAATATAAAAGCAACAAAATAATAATAATCAGTAGATTCAAATTTGCTTTTTTTTTAAAGACGTTCTTTGAATGTCAATATTCAGACATTATTTGGATCTTGATTCAAATACATAAAGTATAAAAAATGGTAAAGCCATCAGGATATTATGAACACTGTCTGGATATTTGATATTACAGAAGTGTTGTTAATTTTTTTAGGTATGCTAATGGGACTAACCTTTCTTTGGAATGCTGGGGATCTGCATTTCACCTTTGCGGCAAGGGCCCTGTTAGAATCAACCCACAGGGGGCAGTAGAGGGAGACTGGAAGCTGAGTGAGCAGCAGGGCATTACATCTTCCTGTTTGCTTGCTGTTCTTGTTTTAGTTTACTGCTCCTGCGGGCATCACTGTAGTAAGTCGTCTTCTACACGGCAGTGGTATCTCATTCCAATGGCAATGTTAATTTCACCTTGCAGTTTTCCATCACTCACCTCAGAGCACCCTCAGCGCCCTCCTCAGACATCAGCACCAGAGGTCTGAGTTCGGTTCTTCAGGGCTCCTCTTCTAAGCTGAAAATATTTTTAATTTTTTTCCTCTTACAAGTGGAGAATGTACAATGAGATTGGGCCAAAGTAGAAAGCAAAATATCTTTTTCTTTCTTTTTTTCTCCATTTTTAAATGTTTTGTTTTTTTTTATTGCTGATAGTATTACAGATAAGTTTTAATAATTTCTTCCTCTTGTTTTTATTCCCGCAGTTCTAGAATTTGTAGCTGTTTTCTGCATTTACTGCTTTTGATACCTTAGCCTTCCCTTTTGGCTTTTGTCATTCTTCAATATATATATATAGCAATTCTTTATATTGCATTATTTCTGTTAAAATGTCTAGTGTGGTGTGTGTCTCCTAAATAGACCCTGACTAATATAGTGGCTGTGTTTCTAAAAAAAAAAAAAAAAAAAAAAAAAAAAAAACAACCACATATCTTGCAGATACCCTTACTAAAATATTTACAAATGGCCCTAGCCGATTTGGCTCAGTGGATAGAGTTCGTTTGCGGACTGAAGGATCCTGGGTTTGATTCCTGTCAAGGGCATATGCCCACGTGCTGGGCTCAGTCCCCAGTAGGGGGTGTGTAGGAGGCAGGTGATCAGTGACTCTTATCATTGATCTCTCTCTCTCTCTCTCTATCTATCTATCTATCTATCTATCTATCTATCTATCTCTATCTCTATCTCTCACTCTCTATCTCCCCTCACCCCTCTCTGAAATCAAAATAAATATTTTTAAATAAATTAAGTATTTATAAATGGAAGGATATGATTCTAAAATTTCAATAAAAGTAATCAGAAATGAGGGGGATTGATGGCAGTTAGAGGGAGCATAATAAGCCATGTGCTGATAATTGCCGAAGCTGGATGATGGCTATATTGAGCTTACTGTCTTTACTTTTGAATACGTTTAAATTTTCCATAGCATAAATTTAACTTTTAAAAAATAGCTCTTCTATGTAAACTTGTGGCACTTTTTCAAAGAGGAAGCAGCAATATTTAAGTCTAAGGTCATTTTAAAATAAAGTAAATGCAAATACTTAGAAATGGGGAAATTCCTTTAATAAAATAATTTGGTCTATCTTTTTTACTTAATTCGTTCTGCTGTGTGATTTTTTATTTGAAATTGATGTTTATCTGAAGAGTATTTGTTGCATCCTCACGCCATATCACAGGATTACAGGATTTCAGAATTAGCAAGTACCTTAAAATTTTTTCAACCATGTTCTTTGGGACAGCAGGCTACTATACAGGTTAACTGGGAGTATAGATGCTTAAGTGGATAACCCTCTACCCCTGTTTCAGCAGAACAACTCTAATTTTTTTTTTATATGTTGAATGTTTTATAAAATTTCATTTTGGGGAAAAACATTCTTGTTCTCTTAAAATGTGAAAATAACTGGAGTATCAAGGTAAGTCATGCTCTAATCTGCATGACACCATTCTTCAGTAGTTGTCTTTCAGCCTCTGTTTGAACAGCTCCAATATAGAGAACCTGGTGCTTTACTTTTAACCTAACTCTTCTAGAATTTTCTTCCTTATACTGAGCTAAAATTTGTCAACCTGAATGATCTACTCTGTGCTCTCTTCACATATCTGAAGGGACAGAACTTCAGATTTGTGAAATCTCACACACCCATCTGAATCTTGTCTAGGCCACACCAACATTTATCCATTTTGGTCAGAGTTCTCAAACTCAAATATGCATGAGAATTACTAGGGCTATTGGTCAAAATGCAGATTTCCAGACAATATGGACAGAGATCCTATTTCAAATCCTGTCAAGTCCTGTTGACTCCCTCTCCAAAATATATTCCAAATCTTTTTCTTTCTCTCCTCCACTCCTGCCACCCTAGTTTGAGCCATCATTTTTCACCCAGCCTACTGCAATAGTTTTAACTGATCTTCCTGCTTATATCCTAGTCGCCTACAATGCATTTTCCTCAGAACAGCTAGAGGTTTTCTGTTTAAACCATAAATCAGACAACATCACTTACCCATTCAAAGCCCTTCAGTGTCTTCCAGCCTGCTGACCTGCGTGGCCACTCGTGACCTGGCCTTTTCTACCTGCTGTGCTGCAGCTTCCTTGCCTTTCCTAAACACACATCCATTCCTGTCCCTGTGCTGACTGTTCCCTTTGCCCAAGCTACTCTCTCTCCAGATTGCCGCATTTCTCATTCAGGTCTCAGCTTAAATGCCAGTTCCTTAGCAAAGCTTTCCCTAACCACCAGTCACTCTAAAACCAAAATATCACTTGTTACTTCCTACTTAATTATACCATTCATCACTAGCTAATACTGCCTTGTTTATGTACATAGGGCCAGTGAGTTCTGTTTGTTTGTTTGTTCTAGATACTGTAGAGCCATAACACTTAGAAAGAATTGGCCCAGGCTTCTAGATAGTTAAAATCCAGCAGAATTTATAAAGTGAGTTTAAATAGAATTTAGAGTGATGGGATGAGACAAGCACTAAAGTGGAGTAACATATAGTTACAGCCACTCTTGTCTTCCAAAAGCACCAGAGAAGAGACCACATTCCATCTCAGTGAAAGGAATTGCTGTTTCCTAAACTGGGCCCTGAGGAGACTGCTGACGTGCCTCTGGAGCCGTGTTGTATGAAAAAGGCACTCCATGCAGTAAGAGGTGGGAGCTCTCAGTAGCACGTGGGTACCAGCCGAGGGATTAGCCTGTGAAACCACTGAAGGAAGGATTGATGTCTCCTGCCGCCATCCCTCGGACATATGCTTATTGAGGGGTCAGTGGGCAGTATTGCCTGCATCATTTAAATTATTTGTCTTCTTTGTTGTTGCTTATCTCTCACTCTCAGAAAGAGGAAAAGATAGTAAACTAGTAACAGAGAAGAAGGGACAATTTCAGACCAATAGGATGTAAAGGAAGAAAATAGTGAGATGAGAAAGGAAGATGGAAATAATACTATGAATAGAAAGGAAGATGGAAATCTACAAAAGTGAAAAAGAAATTCTTGAAGATCAGATTGCATTTAACCAAAATGATAGGGAAATCAAAACAGGAAAAGATGCATAGTTAGAATAATAAAAAGATAAAGTTGTTATTAAAGAGTTCATCAGCCCAGCTGGTGTGGCTCAGTGGTTGAGTGTCCACCCATGAACCAGAAGGTCAGGGTTTGATTCCCAGTCAGGGCACATGCCCAGGTTGTGTATTTGATTGATCCCTAGTAGGGGGCGTGCAGAAGGCAGCCTGTTGATGATTCTCCTCATTGATGTTTCTATCTCTCTCCTCCTCCCCCTCCCTCTCCTTCTATCTGAAATCAATAAAAACATAAAAAATTAATGAGTTTATCACCTTCTCTTGCTCCCTTTTTAGCTTTACATGCTGCTGCCCTTTCTGGCCATGTCAGCACTGTGAAGCTATTATTGGAAAATAATGCTCAAGTAGATGCTACTGATGTCATGAAACATACTCCACTTTTTCGAGCCTGTGAGATGGGACACAAAGATGTGATTCAGACCCTTATCAAAGGTTAGTTATTAAGAGTGCTCTTAAATGGGGTCATCTGAAATAGTGTCAACAATTAAAAAAAAAAAAAAAAAGAGCCACTCTCAAAATGTAGGAATTCTTGCCTTCACCATTTGAAATATACAGCCTTGCCGAAACCGGTTTGGCTCAGTGGATAGAGCGTCGGCCTGCGGACTGAAAGGTCCCGGGTTCAATTCTGGTCAGGGGCATGTACCTTGGTTGTAGGCACATCCCCAGTAGAGGGTGTGCAAGAGGCAGCTGTTCAATGCTTCTCTCTCATTGATGTTTCTAGCTCTCTATCCCTCTCTCTTCCTCCCTGTGAAAAATCAATAAAAAATATGTTAAAAAAAAAAAAAAAAAGAACTACACAGCCTTACACAGCAGAGCCGCCTGGGTAGAAGGATAGAGGGTAGAGCACCTGCTGGCATCAAGAAGCACAAGGGCCCACCGCCACCTATTGGTTGTGCGATTTTGGCAGTTACTTCACCTGCCTGATCCTGTTTTATTTTCTGTCTAAGGGAAATGATGCCAAACCTGACCAATGTATATAGGCTTATTGTAAAAATCTGAAGTAGATAATATATATGTGGAAGCCTTTTGAAAACATAAAGCATGTAAGGGTCTGTTTGTTCTCTATGATTGTCATTTTCATTTTATTCTTGCTTTTTCAGGTGGAGCAAGGGTAGATCTAGTTGACCAAGACGGACATTCTCTTCTTCATTGGGCAGCGCTGGGAGGAAATGCCGATGTTTGCCAGATATTGATAGAAAATAAGATCAATCCAAATGTGCAAGATTATGCAGGCAGAACCCCTCTGCAGTGTGCTGCTTATGGGGGATACATCAACTGCATGGCGGTGCTCATGGAGAATAATGCAGACCCCAACATCCAAGACAAAGAGGTAGAGAGTCTGGGTCTTTTCTATATTGTCTGCTCCAAGTGTTTAGAGTATTTTTTTCTTTGTTCACTGAAATTAAGTAAAATGACATTTTCCAAATGAAAGGATCCCCCACAAATCTGTTAATTAAAAATGATTTTTATTTGCACATGCTCTCTTCAAGTCCTTGCCTATATACCTATATAATTTAACAAAGTCATAATGGAAATAACTCTATAACTTTGTAAAATATAAATAAATGGCATATGGATATGTATGTATGTAAATATATATGATGTGATTTTACAAACCACATTTGGTTTTGTTCATTTAAAATTATCACCAACATTTTCTTACTTGGTTTATAATATTTTTAATAGTTATAGATATTTAATATTCCGAAGTTCTAAGATTTTCAAGAGTTCTATCCTCACATAAATTCTACTGAGTAGTTATGATTATTATCTCCATTTTACAGATGAGGAAATTAAAGCTCATGGAGCCTATATAATTACCCTAAGGTGACTACAGTGGCAGGTTGAAGGGAGTCAGGGTCCAAACCTGTTACCCAGATTTTAGAATTAAATAAGTAACTTCCTATTGCTGGACACATTTTCTTTATTACATATCATGTTTCATTAATCATCTTGTGCATTTAACTTTATTTATTTATATTATTACCTTGGAGTAATTTCCTCTAAGTGAAGTTATTAAACCAAAGAATGAATGGTATATGAATGCTTATGCTCTGATATATACTGTTAAACTGATTTCTAAAGCTTGTGGGTTAATCTATGCTTCCCCCAGTTGTGTAGTAATATATTACTTTCTTTCAATTTAGCCAATATTGACTTTTTGCTACATTAACTCCTTAAATACCCTATATATTGTGTTTTCCAAGTCAGAAAATAGACGTATGTCCTATTAATTCCTTCAATAAATATTTATCAAGATTGCTACTATATAAAATTAACATAATGAAAAAATATAAACATGGTCCTTATACCTAAGTTATTAGAAATACATATTTTATAATTTGTTATACCTTTTTCATTCTTTTTTTACAAGTTGCCAGTTTCTTACATAAGTACTATATTAATCTACTTTCCAGTTCTATTTTTATATGTAGTGTTTTTATGTATACTATTTTGGATTATCTACATAACAATCCTGCTGTGTATGAGTAATAACACTTTTCTTTCTTCCTTTCCAGTCCTTATACCTTTCACTTCTTATCTTAAATTATTGAACTATATAGGACCTCCAATATAATGTTGATTGGAGCTGGTGATGGTTGACATTCTTAACTCATTCTGGTTTTTCAAGGACAAAGCTTTAAATATTTTACCATTGGATATGATATTTCTATTAGTTCTCTTATATTTCTAGTCACTAGAGTTTTTCTTTAAATCACAAATAGCTGTTTAATTTCTGTCATGCTACTTCTGCATCTATCAATATGATAGTATTATTTCTCTCCTTTTTGCTGCTAATAAGCTGAATTATATTGATTACATTGTGTTTTTTTCAGATGCTAACACCACTTATATATTCTTAAAATGTATATATTAGTGGATTTTATTTGCTAATATTTTGAGGTTTTTGCATCTATATTCATGAGAGAGTTTGACCTATAACTTTTCTTCCTTGTATTATACTTGTCAAGTTTCGGTAGCAGGGTTACCCTGACCTTATAAAAAGAGTTAGGAAGTAGTACCTCTTTTCTCATTCTGATGAATTTGTGTAAGATTGGTCTTACTTCTTCCTTAAATGATGCCATGTAATGAAGTGATAATTTTGGTAACTTGGTTATGATACCATCCTTTTCTCCATTGTACGCTTAACATGTTTCTTATTGTAATTAAGTAATTTGAGGAGAGAATTGTTTATTTTTTGAGTTAGTATAATTAACTGTGTGTCCAAAAATACCTACTCCAGATGTACTTGATTTTTGCTCATGCTTGTAGGGCAGAACAGCTTTGCACTGGTCCTGTAACAACGGATACCTCGATGCCATTAAATTACTACTAGACTTCGCTGCTTTCCCTAATCAGATGGAAAACAATGAAGAGAGGTGAGTCAGCTGTTGATAAAAAGAATGTATTGTTGTTCATATCACATCCTTTCTGACAGATTTTTAAAATCTCAAATTTGGATAGTGGTTCAGGTATAATAAGTATACTCACAAGGAAATACTACATTAAGAAATCCTGAACCAAAAAAAAAAAAAGAGCAAAAGTTCTATGCAATATCAACTTAGAATTCCTGGATTTTAAAGCTATTCAGATGTTAGATATCACCAAGGGTCAGCTCACATTTTACAGACGAGGAAACAACATGCCTTCTTCTAGTTGGTGGCTAACATAAAGACGGGTCCTGATTGACCAGGACTAGGAATTTGGTTAGGCCAGTGACACATGTTATATATAATACCAAGAAGTTTCTCTTCATGAGAGGATATTATCAGTTAGTGGACAAAGGTGCCACCATGTAGCATGAAAAGATGAGAAGCTAAGCTGAAAGTTCAGGATTTTAGTTTCAAAACAGAATTCTTGAATAATATGAGACTCACAGAATTAGGCTGGGATTGTTCCCCCAGGACCCAGGCCTAATGGAAAGGACCAGACACAGTGTGAAACCTAAGCAGAAGAGCTTCATGGTGGTGTTGGATCTAGAGTCTAGTAATTCATAGGTAACAACTAAGTTTGTAATCAGACATCCGTACCTGAATTATTAGATTTCATTGTGTGTGGATGCTCTAACTATCAATAGAGTGACCCCTGCTATGACACCATCCCTATCCTCTTAGCACCACCACCAGTCCTTCCTTTCTGTCAGGGAAACTGTGAAGAGAAGGAAGGACCTTCTCTAGGGCAGCTATCTCAGCGGAAACATGCTCCTCTGGTCTGGGGCAAACCTCGTCATCTTTTCTACCTCTTTCAGAACCTTTCCCCATAGTTATATCCTCCATCCATTATCTTCCAACTCTTTCTCTGCATCCAAAGTCTTCCTTCTCTCAAACTGTCTTCGCTGCCTGCATTTCTTCATGCTCACCATTCATGCCATCGCAGTCTGGCTTCATCTCACATCTACTGAAATCTGTCTTTTTCTAGTTGAAAAGTGATAGCTGTTCTTTCTGTCCACTCTTATTGACCTTTCTGCATCTTGCTTCTGTTGCCTCCTCTTCTTTACCTTATTGAGACTCTATCTTCTCTAAGCTTCTATGACAGTTTATTGTCTCTTCTAATCATGCCTGCTCCTTCTTCATTTCTTTTGGCTTCTCTTCTGTTCTTTTATTTATTTTGAATATAAACATTGCTCAAGGACTGGATCTCTTCTCTCAGCCTATCTCCTTTGGTGATCTGACCAGCCATTGATGCTTCAGCAATCACCAGGGTCCTGCTGGGTTCTAAACTGTATTTCAGACTCAGGATCTCTCCTTGCTTCACAGTCATCTTCTCTTCATTACCAGCATCATTGTCTAAATCAAGCTCTCTTTGACTCTTTTTGGGACTTGCGCAATGTCTCCTTGCTGTTTTCCCTCCTTTGATCTTTCCTCATTCAATTCATCGACTTCCAAAGTAGCCCTGCTAAATCATATTTCTAATGTACTTGTTAATCATGTCATTCCTCTGTTAAATGCCATCTCATCTAAGGAGATTGTTCTGATCCCATAGTCATGTGTCCCAGACTTTGTTTTTCCCTACACTGTATTTTTACAGCAGTTGGCACATTTCACTTTATAATTTTGTGTCCTCTGTATCCCCTATTAGCAGAGAACTCCTAAGGATCATGGTCATCTCTGTACAGTGTACCGTGCTTTTTATGAAGTGGATGCTCAGTAAATAAGTGTTGGTTGTCAAGTTGGTATTGTCAGGCTCTTAGTAAGCATCACCCTGCTTTATACCTGCATTAGAAACTTCTGGAATTCTTAGAGCACATGAAGAATTAGATAAAGCAGACTAGTATGCCTTACTTTAGGAGCAATTATATAAAGAATGAACTCTCTATTATAGTTATATGATAACTACAAAACAAACAATATTTGAAGATTTAGGGGGTTGGGCATTTAAGGAAGCTGGAAGCCCAGTCATATTCTCAAGGCTGAGGTTGTGACAGAAGTGTGAGAGGGATGATTTCTCCCTCTGAAATCCTAAAACCACCAAAGGGAAGGTTTAAGAATCCTAAGATTAGTGATGTTTTATGTCTGTAAAGCATTTATTCTATGACAGTGTTTACCACATAGCTCTTATTTTTTAGGAAACAGTAAAAAAAAAAAAAACATTTTGTTTGCATTCAGTTCCCATTTATATGTGAAGCATTGAATTCCAGACCTAAGTAAACCTAAGAATTAAGGTGCTTACTGCCTCCTGGAGAAAGAATAGGTTAATTACAGACCAAAAGACCATAGGAAAAGCCCGCCTAACTGAACTTGCCAATCTATAAATGAAAAGAGACAGTGGCAATATTCCAGGCCCCTTTAATGTTTCATCAGCAATGCACCTTGATGTACAAATGTCAGAACTTGGCACTGCCTTTTATGTTTATTGACATTCTGGTTTAGGCATTCTGCTCATCCCAGCAGACCATTCCCACTTGGCAGGTCCAATTGTATCTTGTCTCGTCTTTATCTACATTGTTTCTTGACTGGTTACCATCAATGTGGGGCTAATTTTTACTTCTCATGCATTGACACTAACCCTTTGATGTGCATTGCTTAGACATAATTTTTGCCAGCTCTTGCTGGCTTTCAGTCAATACCTCTCTGACAGCCACACTCTGATATTGATGGGAATATTCACAGCACTTGAATGTTTCTAAATTGAATTGGGGGTGAAGAAAGATTCAATAGTAATAATCACAATATGGTCAGTTGCTTGAACTCTAGGTATACAGACTTTCAATCTTAAAACCTTGCTAGGTATTTTGATTGTGTGTCTGAGCAAAAATTGACTGAGAATCCTAAATAAACCAGTTGGGGGGGAATTTTTTTTTTTTTTTTTTTAGGAAATTGGGAGGAATTTGAATGGGGAGTTGACATTGGATCTTACTGAGGAATTCCTGTTAATTTTGTTAATATAATAGTTGCGTGGTTACGTTCATATTATTTATAGGTGAATACTGAAATGCAGGGAAATGAAATGATAGGAATTCTGGGATTTGCTTTAAGATATTTTAGCAAAAGTGAAAAGAAAGGACTTGGATGAAGCAAATGTGGCAAGGATCTTGCTAATTGTTACATTTGGATGATGAGTGTGCAAAGCATTATGGCGTTATACCCTCTACTTTTGTTTATGTTTGAGTTGTCTCCTAATAAAAAAACATTTTTTTCATATTAAAAATATTTTAAAAATTTGAAATGCAGTTTCTATTCACACACTGCCTGAGAGATCTAGCTCTTCCCACCTCCTTTTCACCTGTTACAAATGAGGAAACAGAAGCTCAGAGAAGTGAAGAGAATGGCCAGGTCTCACAGGTCTCTGACTCTCGGTTCAGCATTCTTTAGGGTGTCTTTGCTACCTGTTCTTTGCTTTTGTCATATTTGTAAGTATAGGCATAGTTTAGGTCTTACTTTCATAAACCAGATTTTTATAATCTTGCTTGTGTACTACGTGAAAGACACTACATTTTATTATAGAAGAAATGGTTAACTTACTAATATAGGTTATTTCACATTGATTTTAGAAGTTTCATTCTCTAAGAGACTTAAACTCAATAATTGATAGATGTGTTGTAGAAAGATTACAAAACAGGGAGACATTGGATTTTAGTTTCAGTCTAGATTTTGCAGGTTACTAGTTATATAACCTTTAGCAAGTTGCTTAATTTTTCTGAGTCTGTTTATTGAATTTATTTCCCTAAATGTCCTCTAAAATTCAATTTAGCTCTACTATTGTATGATACTATTTACCATTTAATATGTAGTTAAATTTTTTAAAATATATTTTATTGATTTTTCACAGAGAGGAATGGAGAGGGATAGAAAGTTAGAAACATCGGTGAGAGAAAAATATCGATCAGTTGCCTCCTGCACACCCCCCACTGGGGATGTGCCCTTAACCAAGTTACATGCCCTTGACTGGAATCAAACCTGGGACCTTTCAGTCCGTAGGCCGACGCTCTATCCACTGAGCCAAACCAGTTTCAGCTGTAGTTAAATTTTTTAAACTATGTGTAAATAATGTTTTAAAGTTTACATAGGCACCTCTACTTTTGGTCTCTGAACAGTAGTGGCAGATTGAGCTGCCCTTAAATGAGGGTTGCTTAACTTTAGCACTTGGGGCTTCCTTCTGAATTCAGTTCCTTATTGAAGTGGCCAAACCACCCTTTGCTTATACTAAAAACCTGTCCTTCTATGGCTTACTGTAGCTATTAGATGAATTTTGAAGAGATTTTTTTTTCTGTAATCATTGAATAGTTTTCTGTGTCTAATGATGCTTTCATATAATCATCATTTATTCCTCTTCAGATATCAGCTGTTTATTTTCTCTGAACATCTCTTATTGCGTTGAATTAGTAACAGTCACTCAGAGAGGAATCAGATCAGTGGCAGCCATTAGGTGGCCATAAATACTAGTTTGGAACCAATGGAAATAATATTTATGATAAGTAATTATGGTGTCACACATCATACTGCAACGTATGTCCTATAATAACAGTAATAGCTGATACGTATGAACTCCTTTGTGCCAGGCACAATGCCAATCTTTACATTCTTACTTTTTTTCTTCATGCCACGTCTGTGATGAGGAAAGCTGGAGCTTAGAAACATTGAGTAAGTTGTTTAAGGAGTGACAGTTGCCATCATCGTTGGGTGGTGGGATTTGGGATTTGGGGTGTTTTTACTTCACTATTTTTATTTTTCACCTTGTTTAAATTCTTAGATGTGTCCTTTTCATGAAGTAATTATTTTTCTTTAAAAAAGGAAAGCATATCTGCCAAGATAGTAACAGTGGTTAATTGTGAGGGTGGTGATTTGGATGACTTATTTTCTTCTGTGTATTTATCTAATTTATTTTATATTTCCAAAACTAGAAAAATGTATTTTTAAAAAGGAATTTGCCTGCAATCACAAATTAGAGTCATTTGAAACACATAACCAAATGACAATAATGTTTATCCTTTATAAATAATATATTTATCAAAAAAGGGCTATATGTCCACTGTACAAAATGTAAAAGGCATAAAAGGGCATTGAGTGAAAACTGACTGTCCCTCCTGTGCTTGCCTCTGAGACAGTTAGTTTCTCTCTTACGCATCACTGTCACCAGTTTCTTGGGAAACTTCTGGAGATATGTTTTATATAGGCGAACACACATGGATACATTCTTTTTTTGTACAGTGAAGCATGCTGTAATACTCTTCTGTTTCTTACTTTTTTCTTTCTTTTTTCACTTAACAAGAGATCCTGGAGATTGTCCCCTATTTATTCATACACTGATGACTTCGTTGCATGGGTAGCCTGAGCTTTATTTAACTGGTCCTCTGTTGACGCATATTGATGTTGTTTGCATTCTTATACTATTTCAAGCTATGCTTCTGTGAATATCCTTTCACAGAGGAGAGCAGATCAGAAGGATAAAGGCCTGTATGTGAAATGGCTATGTTGAAAGGCAGATACATAAATAATTTTGATAGGTATGCCCAGTTGTTCTCCCTAGAGATTAAGGCAGTGAGTGTGTGAGAGAATGCCAGCACAGTAGGTGCTTAAACTTTCTGGTGTGTGCTAGTTTAATTATTCAAATGCTCTTTCACATGAGTCTTAATTTGTATCTCTCTTAAATTAGTGAGATTGGACATAGGTTTAGGAGCCATCAGTATTTCCTGTTATGGGAACACTTTTACCTTTGTTTTTTATGTTTTTGCCCTGCAAAGTTTTATTTTGTGTGTGTGTTTTGTTGTTTTGTTGTTTTGTTTTTTATGTAGTTGGATTTATTAAGCATAAGATTTCTGACTTTTGTACCTTTTTTTTTTTAAAGACTTCTCTCTTCAATTTTTAAGAAATCTTCCATGATTCCTTATGATACATCATTGACTTCTTTTATGTGTATATATATATATTTAGATCTTTACCTCATTCATAATTTATTTTAGAGTAAAATATGATATAAGTATTTTTCCCCCAGATGGCTACCCAATTGTTTCAGCATTATTTAATAGTTTATCCTTTCTCCAGCTAAAGAGCCATCCTTATCATATACTAAATCTCTCTATTTGGAGGTATATTTTTTAATTTCTTTTTTTAAAAATAATGTTTTATTGATTTTTTTTTTTTTTTTTTAGAGAAAGAGGAAGAGAGAGGGAGAGAGAAATATCAATAAGAGAGAAGAATTGATCAGCTGCTTCCTGCATGCCCCCTACTGGGGATCTAGCCTGTACTCCAGTCATGTGCCCTGACCTGGAATTAAACTGACGACTTTTGGGTACATAGGACAGTGATCAACCAACTGAGCCTATTTTTTATTTCATAAACGCTCAAATTATGAATCTCGCAGAATGTTATTTGCAGTACTCTTTCCGATAGGCATGAGAATTATTTGGAACATGGGAAAGAGGAAAGGGGATCATGTTCTCACAGCCCCCAATTTGTGAGCCAGTAAGCAAAACGCAGGAATTGATGCGGTCAGCAGCACAGAGCACCTGACCCCAGCGTCCCCCTGGCTTGTGCCCCTCAGAGAACAGAGGGAGCTGCTTTGCCTGAGGACTGTCCCATGTCTTCGCATGTTTCCTTTTCCTGCATGTGTTGCCAGTTAGCTGTACCTTGAATTACATTCCGACACTTGAACAACTCTCCCTGCCGCAGGTACACTCCCCTGGATTACGCTTTGCTTGGTGAGCGCCACGAAGTGATCCAGTTCATGCTGGAGCGCGGCGCCCTGTCCATCGCGGCCATCCAGGACATCGCTGCCTTCAAAATCCAAGCTGTGTACAAAGGCTACAAGGTCAGGAAAGCTTTCCGAGACCGCAAGAACCTCCTCATGAAGCATGAGCAGCTGAGGAAAGATGCTGCTGCCAAGTAAGTCCCAGCTCTTAGCGAAGGGTTCTCAGAACTCAGGGTCAGGGCTGAAGGGGTGGAGGGAGTCTGGGAGGGAATCTGAAATATAATAGCTTTAATCCCTGTACCCAAGCCACTTTTCCCCCTCTGCTCAGCGGTCCTTTGGAGGACTGAGGCTGAAATGAAGGACAAGATCTAACCTCTGCATGGTGGCTGTTCCTCTCAGTTTCCCAGGGAGGGAGTGAAGAGTGGCCATGCTCCCTCAGTGAGCTGCAGAGAAAGCCGGTCTTCTCACCTCTCCCGCCTTTCCCGAAGAAACTTTTACCTAGACCCGTGGTCGGCAAACTGCGGCTCGCAAGCCACATGCTGTTCTTTGGCCCCTTGAGTGTGGCTCTTCCACAAAATATCATGGCTTGGGCGAGTCTATTTTGAAGAATTGACGTTAGAAGAAGTTTAAGTATTAAAAATTTGGCTCTCAAAAGAAATTTCAATGGTTGCACTGTTAATATTTAGCTCTGTTGACTTATGACTTTGCCGACCACTGGCCTAGACTAATCAAGCTTTAATTTGATTAAAGCAACCAACTGTATAAATAACTTGCTTCTCCCCCACCTTGACAAACTTATACTAAAAAATAAAATTTATTCAATAATCATTGATCGAACTCTACTGTACATACAAAACTTTTGTGGAGAGCCTATAGAGAAAATAGTAACTAAAAGGAAAATACTTGATTCAAGAAGCTCCCACTTTTTTGGATAATGATACAAAATGTGCAGAATAGTCATAGGTACGTATTATATATTGTGGTTATTTTACCGTAAGTGATAGATTTTAGATTAGGCTTTGGTTTGCCTTTTCTCTGATACCCATGTTGTGTATTTTAAATAGCAGGAGGTATCACATTAGTGGGTACAAGACCAAAACTTCTGATGATAAAGATGCAGACAATAGACAGATTCCTGAGAGACAGCTTCCGGGCTGTATCTTGGATGTTTCCAAACCTTGGATTATTCCAACTCTTAATTCCTTCCATATCTTGCAAACAGGGGGAAGCATACATGTAATAAATAGCAATTAAGAATAATAATCAAAGGCAGGATAAACCATGTCAACAAGAAGTTAAATACCACCGTAACTGGAATTACTCACCAGAATAATTACTCACCTTTGCCAGACAAGATTGAAAGAAACACATTATTTTCTGTGACCCTGAAGCCATCAGAGTAGGTGGCATCCTCAGAAACATTCCTCTGCATTGGTCTCTCAATGGAGCCCATCGCAGCACAAGTGCCAGAGAATCCAGTTTAGCCTAAAGCCTCTACATGCCTGTTTCCAGCCTTCCTATCCAAGTCCTCTGCATGTGAGTGACAATGTAAGTAGGTAATACACATGACAAATTACCCTGAGAGGCAAGTAAATATTTTATACAAGGGATGGAATACTGTATTTCCTTCCACTGATGTTTCTGTAAACTCCAGTTTAATATGTGAGAATCTGTTTTCAGGGTTCCAAGTCATATCTACCGGAAGTGCTACTCCAAAGCAATGTGACTGACGTTGTATGTCCCCACTAAATGAGCAATTAATCCAAACACAACTCACTTTGATTTGATTAATATGAGTTGTGTTTGGATTAATATGTTCCTTTAGGGGGGGACATACAAACTATCCCCAAACTACCTTTCCAGAGGAATGGAAGGGTGTGGTAGAGTGGAAAGTAGACTGGGTCAAATCCAGCCTCGAATGTTTCCATGCAGTGAATTGCACACAGCATTTCTCTCTCGGGCCTCAGGCTCTTCATCGGTAGAATAGGCCAGAGCAGGCCAGTGGGTGTCTAGGCAGTGACCAGCTCTGGGAAACCCATGTCTTCATCATTGGGGATCTCAGCCTCCGCCTCCTCTCCTTGCCTGAGGTGCTGTCCAGAGGCCATTTACCTGGGCCAAGCGTTTGGATTCAGTGGAGAGCTGGCAGCTAAGATTCATTTGTCAGAAGACCTGCTGTACAGAGGGAGGGATTTCAAATAATGATGCTTACATAAAGTGTGTAATGCTTATGATATTTCCCCCAACATGTTTGTTCATTTGTTTTTTGCAACATTCAGCCCAGAGGATTTGAACTACAAGGAGATTTAGGGAACATCTAGTTCTCTCCTTTCCTTTAACCCTCCTACTTGTTATCCTAATTCGGTTCACTACTGTGGAAGATAGGTCCTCTTTGTTCTTAATTCTTAGTTTCTGAAATTCATTTTTTAAAAACCTTTTAAATGGGAACTGTGCTTACTGGGGTGATATTTGAAATTGGCAAAACTGAAAAAAATTATGAGCTTTACTTTTTCTCAATCACAGTCTTTCCTTTATCAGGTGCCATTACTGGGCATAAACAAGTTTTGTACACTTTACCCATCACCTCCTACAGTCATCATCGAATAGATCCCCACGGGAAATACTGCAATGGGAAAAAAGCCAGACCTCATTTGTTTTAACTTTATTTCTCAAGAGTTATTTCTTAAAATCTGAGTCAGTGTTTTATTTTGTGTTTGGTTTTTGTTGTAAGGAGCAGAAATCAGAATGTTAGATTTAGTCTGTGTGCCCGCTGCCTGCTGACGCAGGCCCCTTTCCCAGGGGTCCCAGCAGAAATCACCTTCCTTAAAGGACCGGTGTGAAAGCAACTTGTTTAACTCACAGTGACTTTTAATTTACTGACAGAGAAATTGGGAGAGACGTTTTAGTCATATTCTCTAAGGCATTTATTTTTTCAGAAAATACTGTTTGAAGAATACCTATAATCCATTCAAAACCACTTTGTAACTCATACTGCTCCACCTGTGCTGTTGCCAAAATGAACACGAGCTAATTTGCCTGCCGAAGCACACCGTGGAGGGCACACTAAATTAAGACCGTGTTTATGTGGATCACTCGTCTTCCCTGGAGCTTCTTTTTGCCAGGTTTTTATTTCACTCTCTAATCACAGATCTCCTCTAACTTGCCAACTCTTCCTTCTCACCTTTTTAAATTATACCATCTCTACACTGCGGTCAGCTCTGCGGGCAAACTTCTTAGACCTCTACTCCAGCTATGCTTTTTTAAGACTCAAATTACTTCATCTCTGTAGATAACCCCTTAGTCTGGCTCGTATCTTGGCATCCTAGAACTCTAATCCCGGCTCATCAGCTGCCTCCTGGCCATCTCCACCTCACTGTTCTTTGGTCTCTGCCAGCATCTCAGATCACTGGACATTTCCACTGTGTGTCCTGTTGTCACCAGCACTGAAGACCCACCATGTGACACCTGCAGCTCATCACCACAGCCTGTCTCTTCCCTCCCCTCCTGACTTCCCTGCTAGTGCAGCCACCACTGATTCTGTTGGTTCCTCTTTTGAAATGTACTGTTGTGTCCTTTTGCTTTCCTTCTCTGTCCCATTACTCAGTACAAGCCCTTATTCTTGAATATCAGGCATGATGCTGTGTAAGGCCCTTCAACGTTTTACTTCCACTTATATCTCCAAATCTCATTCCTCTCTACTACTCCCACCCTCCCACATCTTCACTTGAGGTCTCAGCCATCCTGAACTTCCTTTGCTTCCTCTCTTACCACTTTCTTTACTAACCGCATGGTCTGGGAGACCTGAGCTGCCTCTGGCTAGTGTATGAGAGTGAGTATAACTCTCAGAGTTACATAATCAAGTCCAGTTTGGGTCCCTCCATTCAGACTCTTGTCATGCTGTAGTCCCTGCTGTGTCCACAAAATGTCAGATGACAAGGAATTGTGCCTCTCATAGAGTACATTCCATTAGTGGGCAGTTCTCTCTGGCAGAAGTTCTTTTCTACCTTTTGGTTTTGAGCTAAAGATAAAAGTCTAAATCCTCTTTATAAACCAACCTTCACATCATTAAAGAAAGTGTTCATGACACTCACACTCCTAACCTAGGTCTCCTTTTTGCCGCATAGCAGATCCTCTTGCAGCCTGCTCCCCAAACAGCTTCACTTTGTCAATGCCTGTCTCCAGGGCGGACTCATAGGTCTGACTCTTCTGCTCATGCTGTAGTCTGAGCCATGGGAAATCACTTCCATGGTGCTCCTTCATGCCATTCCACTGCTCTGAGCCTCAGTTTCCTGTCAGTAAAATAAAAAGGACAGGCTTTGGGACTCCATGAATTCCCTGAAACTCCACGAAGCATTTCCTATGTCATGCGCACATGTGAATTTTTATCACATTTTTATCACAATCTCAAAGAGGGTCCATGAGTCACAGAAAGATTCTTAAAAATAGGACTAAAGCTATCTGAGGTCCCTCTCAGCTCTAACATTCTATAAGTCAAAGGTTCTCAAACACATGGCATTTTCTTATTTTCTTGAGAGGAAGTCAGACACCAAGTATTACTGGGGCTGTTATTCAGAGACAATGAAGAGACAGACTCTGACAGGTCCCCTCCTCACAGTGCAGGGCCAACTGAAAAGGTTAGCACTAAACCTTTTCTGTCTTGTGAGGTAACCAGCTTCCCTTCACTGGAAATGTTCTAGCTGAAATTGAATTATCATCTCTGCAGAATGATACATAAGGAATTTTAAAGTTATATAAAGAGCTGGTTTTGAAGGTCTCTTCTGAGTCAAACATTCTGTTGGAGGTAGGCTGCATGTCTTTGCTCATGCTCTTTCCTCTGCTGAAATAACCTCTCACTTCCCTCCTCTCATTTTGACATTCTGTGGAGCCAGTGTAAATAGTCCCATATCTTCCCCAGCTCTGTGTGGATACCTCTGTTTTAGCACTCATCACATCTAAAACTCACTATCAGCAGGGGTACCTGGATCCGATTCCCCACTAGACTGTCAATTCTTGAGAGCAGGGACTGTGTTGTGTATGCATCTCTAGGGCCTAGAAACTTGATTGAACATTAATAATAAATGTTCAATAACTGACCTAGCCTGGGTCTAGCCCAGGGGTAGGAACATCTGGCCTATAGGCCATATAAGGCCTGAGAAATCATTTTGTCTAGCCCTGCCAAGGCATTAGAAGTGAGTTA